GTAATGAAAATTGAACGGCGGATTACACCGAATCGGCGGGACAAACAGGCGAGCGAGGAGCTTCGTAACAATTCGCCGGTGAAATTGGCCACGTTCCCTTCTTTCTATCTTTTTCTCTTCCTCTCTTTTTTTTTTTTTTACGTTCGTTGCTTTTCGCAGACGCGTACCACCTCCATTCTTCTCTTCCGAGCTTCACGGTTGAAACTGTTCTCTTTTTTTTCCCAATTTTATTTTTTTCCTTTCCCTCCTCCCCTCGTACGCCGGTTTCGCTACTCCCCTACTTTGCTCTCTTCGGTAGAGAGCAGCGGCAAGCTGCCGCTGGTCGATGCTCTTTTTTCCTGCAAACAAGCACCGAGAGAGCGCAAGCTCGCGAATTTGCGTGCCACCTTTCTGCCCACGCTCGTTCAGAAACACACCGGCCGGAAATGTTAACACTTTGTCGACCGCGGAGAGGTTCCTCGTGAGCTCGCCTCTGATGACTACCGTATGCGAGTTTTATGGGACATGTGCGGAAGTAGCGCGATTTGCTGCCTTCATGTACGGATCGTATGTTCCTTTCGTAACCATGTTGCGTTCTTTGGATCGTTTTCAATAGGCAAAAGAATCCGGGTCTGATCGACTATTTCTGATAGATTCAATTCCATTACAAAGATAAGCGATCGTACTAGCCGAAGGCGTCACGTTTATAAACAAGACCAATGCCAAGAGAGATTTATTAAAGAAAAGAAGCCGCGTTACCAATTTTCGTATCTTGCAACCTTACATGTTGCTATACAGTGGATTAATTCATTATGAGTTCATAGAAATAATGAGAGGTGTGTAGTAAAAGCTGCATAATTTGGTGATTATCTTAAGGCTTTAGCTATTACGAGCGTGATCGTTCGCCACGATATTCTCTTCGTATACCTTGATATTACTACACTTACTTACGTACGATGGAAGGATTCTAAGAGACTTTGAAAGCTGATAATAGATACTCGCCAAGAACTATAACACAGAAATGTAGTTATGCAGCACTGAAATATAGTAGATCTTTAACACGTTGACGAATCAAACTCCAACAGTGTTACTGTATAGTTGGCTATTTTTCCATCGAAGGTATAATGATCGAATTTTATTTAAAAAGGGCAACGTTATAGCGATAACTTTAGCGATAAATTTCTCCATCTTACGTCGACGATTCGTACGATGATATCCGAACGATGGTCGTTTTGGTACTAAATTGACGCGACCAACGCGTTTAGTTTTCACGTTTCGCTCAATTTAGATCATTTTTCGAATAACAACCACGAAAATTCGATCGCTATTTTTCGAGAATCGTGTGCACTGTAGCGCTTGTTGCCTAAAGTTGCCGGCATTCTCAAGGGATATGACGAGGTAACAGGAACGTTCCTGGACTTAGTGGAGGAAGTTGACGGCACCGAGATAGTCAAACTGAGTAGCAAAGGTTATCCTTCGTCAGCCTTGACTAACCAGAACTTGTGAACTTCACTGTAGGCGATCTTATTTTCGATGTTGGTAACCGAATATCCGACTTTTCAACGATATATTGGCAACTGGACGTTTCTTCCTCGTGTTCCTTTCATGCGAATAACGAAGGCAATGAAATGGAATATTTAGTGAAACGTACGGTAAATCTAATGACGCTTGTATTACAGAATTTTTTGACGTTGAGGTTTTGATGTAGGTTAAATTTGAGACAAGTTTTCAATACTCTCTAGAGAAATTTTGTTAACGATAGGAATAATGAGTTTCTGAATGATTCGTTTCTGAGATTGATGCGTTTCGGATTTCACTGTTAGGATTCTATGATTTGTAGGATTCGAATAGAGGATGTTGAAGGTGATTTACTTCGCAAGACTATGAGTCGGTAGTCATAAATTCTACGCATGAATTAAAAGATATTCGGTATAAAAGATGGAGGAAAGTCGATTGATTGACGTATAGAAAGTGGAACGTTAGAATGGAAATTTTATCGTTTATCTACATGCATCGACGAAACACGCTTGTAAATTATTCATATATATGATAATTTGCGCAATTTTTAACAACGTTAACATTATTAAAAAACAATCCAATTCCAATAAAATCCTGTACAATTCTATTTACTTTTGACCTTCGACAAAAACATGAGAACAGCTTCTTCAAATGTCACTCTATCGTTAATAATTCCGTCTGGCAATATTGTATCCTACACCATCGCGATAAAACTATTAAAATAATTTCATCCACCGTTGCTCTTTAAATGTCAAAAAATATACGTCGAACGACTCGATAATCTTTTCGATGAGTCTCAAAGCATCATCGACCGAATTTCACCTAACATTTCAAATCAATTTATCATTAAATTCTACGAAACTTCGTATCTCCGAGACCACCACCTTCGATCCACGTCCCAAGGAAAAATAAATAAGTAAGATTTAAAAAAAAGAAGAAAAGAAAAGGAAAGAAAAAGAGAAGGTAAGGGAAGAGGTGCTTCTTAACGATCGTAATTTACGAACGTTTTCGCAGCGTCGATGGACGCCGGAGGTATACATATTCAGCGCTGGTGGTGCGTGCAGCCGTCTCATTATCAACATCCCGGAAATCTAGCTCGCTATAAACGGGATTTTATGGATGCATGTAGACTGGCAAGTCGTCACCGAAACGCGGGTTGAGAGTAGCAGGGTTTAAAGGTCAACCAAACGATACGTATCCTCGGTCCACCTGCCGATGCACCTTAATTGCATCGTTAGAAGCTCTCGTTAGCGCTGACCAAAGGTGCACGCGCGAGGTTTGCAGCTGAACAGCGGAACTCACGGTAAGAATCTTTCAGTGAATAGTATCGCTGACGAGAATTCACAGGAGAAAGAGTTGCTACGGATTAGATTTCTTTAGAAAGAAATGTTTCGCTATTTTCTATTTTTCTATTTCTCTATAATATTTTAAACGCGCAAAATATTAAAAAATAAAATTCGATAATAATATCAATTGACTGAAAAACGAACGTAATAACGAGATATTGCATTAACACAATCTAGGCTACTAATGGGTTAAGTACACCGTCCGATTGACTTTACGGCATCAAAATAACTACCACGAAGGCTATCCTTGTAACGTTATGCGAAAGACGACCGTGGGAGTCGTCGCGACGCGAGATCAACAAGTCGAAGAACGTCCGCCGGTGCTTCGACGAGGGCAGCGTTTCGACACGGTTCGTTCTCCGAATAATTGCCATGGGGACGACGTTAAAGTCTGTGAAAGCGGCCTGATAAGTAATGAATCGACGCTGATGTGTGTCACTCGCAATAATTTCTCTATATTAATATCGTCACCAATGTCGGCTCGTTGCACCTGCATTATCAGATTACACGTGCAGCTGCATCCGAGTGGGAATCGCGCCGCCACACTTTACGAGCAGTTTATGCGCAACGCACCGTGCCGACGTACATCTACTAAATTATTCTAGGACGATAAGAAAGCTTCGATCCATATCGTAACGCAGTTGCTTTGCACCGGCCGAATCTACTGTCGACTACTACGAAGAGATATGTTACACATAACTTGACGGAAGAAAAGTAACAAAATTGCACACCACAACCTCATTGTTCTGTTATTACTAACGTTAATGACAAGATAGAAACGTAATGGATATTTCGATATATTAATAATATCGTTAAGTATCAATAAGATATCAGATCAACTGTGACTTTTGTTTCTCTTCGTAGTAGAATTTAACAAAATTTTATACGACGTATAATTTGAAGAGTAGATTATTAGAGTAACATAATTTGTTACTTTGCGCACGAAGCATATTCATTATGTACGAATTTTGAATATCTATTAACCAACGTAAATTTACTCCAAAATTTACCGGAACATACGTAACTCCACAAAACAATGGCAGAAAACCACTCGACCCGATCGAAATTCCACTGCAATTAACTTCTCCTTTCGCCTTCTAATTTTCCTAATCACATCCAACGAGCGAGACTCGAACTATTTCACCTCGACGTTCAGCTGAATACACGACAAGAAAACGGGACAGAATTTATCCCCGTGAAAGTACAATCAACAACGAGGCTCGGGTAGAAAAATGCAACGGCGCGAACCTTTTTGGGTCACGGAAGCTGCAGCGAGAAATTCACGCTTACAAAGTGCACCGGCCAACTGAAAAACCGCGGTCGGTACCATAAAATATCCAGCGAATGGTGCATCGTAGCGACTCTCTTTCCTTCTTTCTTGCCCTTGGTGGCGAGACTGCTAGAGAACCACATTATGAAAATGCATCCGTCAAGCCTGATATTTCATGAACGATGCCAGTGCGAGGTCGAGCGGGTTCCTGCGACTTACGAGCAACCATAAACCGACCACCCACCAGCTACTTGTACTTGCAGGTACTTTTCTGGAAAGACGAGACACGTCTACTATCTGTCGATCGAATACCATTTTTAGAACTTTTCCCAATCATAGGCTCAATGATCGAACTATTGTCTATTCGATACAATGCACCAGTATATCGTTTTAACTTTCAACGAAGAATTTTTCTTCGTCAACAAAAAAGTGTTATCTCACGAGTTATTAATAACAGGAACACATTTCCTCTGATATTTTTGCAGAGACGTAGCGTGCTAAAATTTGACAGTAATATTTTATCAAGAATCAATACATTTACTGTTTAGTTAGTTAACAATTTGCTGAAATCCATTGCAAAATAATTTCCATACGATATTTATTTGTTCTAATCGACATTTTTCCTTACAGATGTCAACGAACTCCTTCGAAACAATCGTAATAAATAATACGTTCATTTCTACAAACATTTTAATCTCCGTGAAACATTGAAAGAATCAATACAGCGCTTTTCGTCTCTTTTTTTAAACTAACGTTTCACGCTGTAATTTGTGCAAAAACCAATCCAGCGGCTCTTAATCACTGTCGCGTGGCAAGATTTAACGGAGGAGAATCCTCGTTGACACGTTCTCGGATAAATGTCGAGGAAGGGAAGAAAAGCAGCATACCGGAGTATTTCCAAATCCCCCGACGTCCTCTAGCCGAGTATCGACAGGAGAGCGATGCCGATGATAGGGCCTGGCCGTAGGTGTAGCGCGAATTTCGTGACCTGGATAGCGACCGAGCTGAAATGGAGGAAACCTTCTACCATAGCTTGCTTTAACTATTCGTTTCAATCGAAAATTTCTCCATTTTCTTTCCTCTTTTACCTCTCTTTATCGTTCGATGCATTTTACCACGTTGGCTATCAGATAAATTTTCTCTCTGTTTGTTATTTATGGTCTTAATACTTTTTTCACGATATAACTATATCTATGGTTTTTAAATTTTGCTTAAAATAGGATAATACAATTCAGAAAAAAATAAATACGCAGGGCGTTCGTTCTAATATTCCGCATGATTTGATTGATTTTAGTAAAAATTTAATTTCTTATTTTATTTTTCCGGTAATGTGATAAAAAACTTGTTATTAAGAAACGTTCGTCGAATAAGAATAAGAAAATACATTTTTCTTCGTAGTAAAGTGAAGATTAAGTTTTATCAGCGGAGATCAAATAACCATCTTTAGATCAACTTTCATAGCACTCTACAAATTCGAGAGTTATTGGGCAACAAAATTTTATCGACGTTTATTTCGTAATTCGCGAATAATCGGACGATATATCAATGATAATATTAGGTTATAGTAGCGGGACTCGGCAAGATTAACTGGAAATTATGAGAATATATTCGCGCGGCGAACGGCTTCGTAAATTAATTTGCATCTAACTCGACGTTACCGATGCAATAAAATACGACACCGCCACGCGAACAACTCCGGGGAGTCGTTAAAATGGACATGGATAATGCGAAATTTCGGTTAATTGGAATAGGTTCGATAGGAAATTAAGGTACTATAACTGGAATCAAAGATACTAGTGATTTGAGAAAGATAAAGTTCTTTCTCCATATTAGTAGACCTACCGTAGTTTCTTAGCAAAACAAACTGAGCAAACATTTATTATTCGTATTATCCAAATACTAAATAAACATAATAACTAAATACCAAAAAACCATTGTGATCTTTTAGTATATGCAAAATTATTATAGGAAATTGTGGCAAAAGTATCCTCAAGGTTAAAAATCACCATATAGACAACCAGATGATAGTTCAATAGCAGAGTACAGAATCAGCGAATGCATCAAGGATAAAATTACGTTTGGACCATATTCTCATCCGCCATCGAGAATAAGAACGATCATCCTCGAAAGCAAACAAAATCGCCGGTGTAGCACGATGTTGCGTGTGAGCAACATTCCATCGTTGCTCCACAATGGCCAGGATATTACGACAAAATGGGTAAGTCGAGGTTTCTTTCTCAAGCGTCTTTTCACCGTGTCGCCAGTTGCAAAGGAGGTCAATGTTTACCGCGACGAACATCCGAGAGAGGAGGCGCGGTAAAACCGCTATATGCGTTTTTTCGTACTCTGAAAGGTACAAACGGAAAAAGAACACTCGATGAACACGAAAACGACGACGATGATCGGCGAAGAAATATCATGAGAACAATCGTCGAGAGAGAATCAATATTTATTATTATTATTATTTTTGAAATTGATTATAACGGATCAGTAGCAACTCATTGTCAATTCAAGTCATAGGCTGAACTTTATCATGTTTAGGAGAGACGAATAAGCATTTTATTTCAGTATTAAATATCTGAAGTATATGTAGGATACGCTATCATTATACCGTATATCGTAATATTAACAAATATGTTGTAATAATGTTGTAATAATAACAAATTTTCGTAATCTGAATACGTTTAAATATATTATTAATAAAAATAGATTCTGTAAAACTTACATCAAATGTTTGATAACAACAATATTTTACTATACACGTGCAACAACATTTTTTTCCTTTTCGCTAGTCTCCCTCGAATATTTTTACGCATATTTCAAATTTTGTTTCAAACTCATCGTCATCATCATTATTATTATTACTTTATTTTCGTAAGAAATACCGTTTGTATACGATAGAGAAAATAAAATAGAATTATATGAACACAGAAACAAAAGAAAAGTGCAACATACTGAGACTACTAATCCGTTCACCTAACCTGATTCATAACGCGTTACAAGCCAATTCCAATCGATCTTGGAAGCGGAAGCTCGGCAGAATCCGGGTTATCTTGCGCGTCAAGTAGAAACCTCGACGATTGTTCAGCCGGCGACAACCGTTGCTCGTTCAAACGCGCGCGCGCGCCATCAAGATCGCCACAAATCTGCGACAGATCGCATTTCAAACCTCGACTATTCGTATATTCGATCTGGTTTCCGTGAGACGCAGCTGGCTCGCGACGAAAAAATAAAATAATTGCGGCTCTCTCGAGGTTGGCTTCGACGAATGGCTCGAGGACCAACTCTATCTCTCGTTTCCATCCATTCTCGCTGCCTCTCTTTCTTCTCGTTCTGTCTCTTTCTGTGTCTCCGTCCCATTTGTTCGGAGAGAACAGTGCAGAGTACAACGAAAACCCACAACACTGGTACAACTCGAGCATGGAACAACAGGGGAGGTAGATGGTGGATGATGGACTCTCTCTCTCTATACGCGTATTCGCCATTTCTAATATGTCTGAACATATCTGGACGTCGTGGCTGTACTATGGAAACCTAAATCGTTAGTGGAACTCGATTTGGAATCCTCTTATTACGAGTGGAAAGGAAAATGCATTTGGATACATGAAAAGAGATTGGTGCATCGAACATTGCTGAATCGAAACAACATTTGAGGATTTCGAGTTTTGAAAGGAAAAACTGAATTATTGAAATTTGATATTTTATATGATCGTTTTATACGGATTTTTAAGATTAAAGAATATATTTCTCGGAGCAATTCTTCTCCACAATTGTGTAATATATTTCGTCTAGGACAGTCATGATACAACATCGTACTAACATATCGCGTCTAATGAATTTAACTGATATTATAATTGTACCACAGATATGATTTATAGATATAAATTATGTACGTTCTTCACAGCTAAAATGTGATCGAGATTAAGTGAATTTTCTTGAATGCTTAAATTATGCGCATATTATTCAAATAGGTAAAACTTTGTTTTAAACATTATCTACTTGCAATGTAATTTATAATGGAAAATATATCAGAAAGAACGATAAATATCTATACCGCAGCAAGGTGAATTATCGACAAGTTTGATAAACCGGTTTGGTGAACAGTATCGCGTTAATTGCGCTAAAATGATCGATCCTTAAATATCAGCGGCCAATTGGCGAACGGCGCATACGCTATTATGTGCGCAGCGTGAAAATGGCAGTTTGTAAAATAGGTAAAACATAAATATTCGCCATTGACCCTAGCGGAGGTAAAACAACGTTATTGGGCACACTCCCAATAGCCAGATATCGGACTATAATTAAGCCCTATTCTTTGTGTGTGCGAGAATTAACTCCCACCACCAGCGAAAATTCGCAAATATCGTGAAGCAATGTTCGCCATTGAATTTAGCAATATAAAAAAGGGAAGGAGAAGATAGAATCATAATCATAAAAATAGATCATTCCTGTTACATTAAACTTATATTATTACATTCCGGAGGTGAAAAATTAAATCAGATACTTATAAAAAACCACCGAATTCTTTCCTACATTGATTTTTGAAAGAACAAGAACCCATAATATGATATCTCTAATATTATATTCTTCGTCTTACAAGAAAATTCCATTCGTTCTTTACATTACTTTTCAACTTCGCGTACCAAGATCGGGTAAAGTATGATGGCGCATGCGCGTGCCCAGTCCAGAAAGTCTTCGACAATTTCGCGCGGTCCATTCGAATACTCCATTCAGAATCGATACCCCACCCCACGAGTTTAACAATTCGTTGCTCGATTATACATACGCGAAACTTCCAAATCCCCTTGATAAAACGGTAGAAGCTCGAGGAAAATTCGCGACGATGGTTTTGCATGGAGTCGAACGACGTAGCCGAAGCGCAGCATGCTCGCCATACCGAAAATATCAATATGCACGGAATGACTCGACCAGTGATACAGGAAGCTGACTCACACGCGAGCGTCGCGTGCATACAGCCTCACACAGGCGAGTCGTGCCGCGTTCTAACAGTATTGCACACGCATTTACACGTTTTCGAGTTCCCCCTCGTTTCCAGCTACCAATTCCCCCACTATTATCCACTCCAACCCTCACTGTTACCCCTACCAACTCGCAACGCAACCCCTCTCTAACGCTGCAACCCCCACCATCGAGTTTCCATCCCTCCAACACCCGTCGTTTCCCCGCTATCGCCACTCCACTCCTACCTTCTACGCTTCTCTCCCTTCCACAACGTTGGTTTCACTCTCTCGACGGTCCCACCTGCGGTGAACAACACCGAGTCCTTGTCTATGAACTCGTGAGTTCGTCGACAGGAAAGGTCCTAGGGAGGGGAAGAGAGGTGGCGAAGCAGACGAAGGGCGAGGATGAAGGAAAAAGGAGCGAGAAGAGTGGACGTGGTAGGGGAGAAGCAAGCGCAGGATATGCAGAGCTCGACGTGTGTTAGAGAATCTACCGCTACCTTTCCGCATATCCTTTCTCCGTGAAGGCAGCGTGCGCGCGTACAGTCCGCGCCGATTTACCGGGGAGGAAAGGCGGCCGCGGCCTATCTTGTAGAGTACCTACCATTCTCGACTCGCGGCCGCTGTACTAATCGCGTTGTTACGCCGCGAGCTG